AAGGTACGACACTAACCCTCCAGCTATTCAAACACAGCAATGACACTCGAGAGAAGCTCAGATTGAACCTCCACGGGCGTTAATTAAAGAACTAAATATGAGCAATGAAATTGAAGATGATCAGGGATTTCAGTAAAAACTACTGCCCAAAACTTTCATTATGTCAATGGATATAACTTATAAGTATAACAAACAGTGTAATAACTAATTATTGTTTGGAGTGTTTTTTAACTCAAAATTCCTTAAAAATTCCTTAAAAATTCTATTTCCTTAAAAGTCTCCTTAAAAAGGTCAAAATTTCCTCAGTTTAAGGAAATTTCCTTAAAAATGAGAGCCCTGCTTATAATCGCAATTTCAGGCCCAAACTCCGCCCAGTTACATAATACCGGATTCCCTTGTTGCAGCATAATCTGCATATAATTTAATCTTCTCAGAAACCACTTAAATTAAATTAAACCTCTGTGAAGAGGACAGTATAGTATGTACACATTACTTTAGTATATTCATGCATTTCTATTCCTCTTAATATATTGTAACTGTTAGATCCAGTAAAATACATCAACTTCAACCTAACATTGACTATGTCTATGACCATATGTTTAAAAGATCTTTTCTGGCTTTCATTGAATTACTGTAAATACCCATTCACAGATGTTCGCAGATTGAGTTTACTTTCATGTCCTATCATCACTCACATGACTGACATGATGTTGATTGTCTAATTGGGTCAATAAAAATGCCACGTCTATCTCAGAGTAGTAGACAGTAGTAACAATATCATATCATTACGACAAACATTCATAATTACAGCTGTCGCAAATATACTACTGTGTGTCTTAACCCATCCGTATGTTAGCCCGTCTTTTAGTGGATGGTAGAATATTTAAGCCGTTTCACATAAATCATAATTTAATCGTATGGATGAAATTAATATTATGTGCCTTAGCTTGCACAAGGTCAACGATCTTTTAGTAACACTATAATTCAATTATTGTTATTGCTTATGGCAATGGTGTGTTTTACCAAATAAGGTCGTGAGAAATGATGTTTTTCTGGTTTGGACAAAACACAAGGTCAAAGACGTAAACGAATTTTTTTAATTAAGTCTTCAATTTTTCCTCATGTCTCATAGGGACATTAGTCCCGAGTGTTGGTTGCACCACTTGCAGGGGAAAATACCTTTATTTAGATTGGATAAGGTTCAGACATAAACACTTGGAGTGTATACTCAATGCATCCGGGCAAATATCTGCCTGCTATAAACTCAACCAAGTACATTCAAGAGGGAGAACAAACATTTTTCGAACCGTTTGTTTTTAGCACAAGATTTGTGAAAATATCAGTGCGATTCATGCATAATTTTGCTTCGGCAACATGTGACAAGAATACTTCCAAGAGCTGGTTGTTCAAAGGACTAACTCATTTAACCTGCCGTTTTGGTTTGTGTATTTCTGCACACCTGTTTATTTCAAAACTTTTGAGAAGAAAACAGGCAAGGCCGTCGGAAGCGGGGGGCTTGAGCCCCCCTCTCCTCAATAATTTCCATTTGTATAAGCAAAACACACAAGAACTAGAATAGTGCGAAAGCAATTCAGATTTATTCAAGTAAGTCATACCCCCCCCCCC